TCACACGAGGAAATGCACCCCCCCATTTTTTTTACTGTTGTGTAAATCTACATCATATTATTCGCTATTTCTACTATTCCTGAAATCCATAAATATAGGCCATTGCCACAGCACAGGGCAGTTAAGCCAATGAAAATGTCCAAATTTTCCCCGGAAGGAGGTGAAGGTGTACACTACAGGAAGGTAGTGTAGCATACGTCCTCCTCAAACGTCAATGAAATATATCCTGGTATTTCCCTAGCCTTTCCGTCATTCAGTTTGTAATTGATTGATGCCATGAATTATTCTTTTGTTTTATTGTTTAATGATAATAATGGCACGGAAATTCACTTCATCAAGACAACATTCTCAGAGTTAGCGAGTATGGCCGTCCACTGTAAACGTTTTCACGTTATTTATACAGTATTACGTCTCCACACTTCGTAAACTCAACTTGACCTACATTATTTTGTTGCGGCTTCATACGTATAACAAATATTATTCCTGGTGCTTGTGTTGTTTCGATGTGTTTTATTGTTTGTTCAGCTGTTTTGTAGATTATAGAACGTATTAATCATTTCGTTTATTTCCCGCCAAAAGATTTGACTAACGACGAGAAACCAACCAAACGATCTACGTAAAAATAAAAATACTATTTGTTCTGTCAATTGAAAGGCTGAGATAAGATTCGTAAAAGAGGTTACCACTCATGTCAATTATATTAATTTTAATAAGATAATTGTGATACCAGCATAAATAATTCCAAGAGTTTATTATTTTATATCTCCAAAACTTATGACAGAAATCAGTTGGCAATCGTTAACTTCTATGATTTTAATTCATTAATTATATCATCTACATGCTCTGTTGGTTGCGGAGGGATGAATATTTCCCAAACATATATACAGTTTTCTACACATTTAAAGGTCAATTCAAGGGTTCAAAATTGACATGACACCTGTTTTGGGGGGGGCCTATGAACACATTATAAACGTCTTTACACACACACACTCGCGCGTCTTTCGTAATGTACTTTGTTAGGTATTCCAGTCCACGAAGTTTAATAATAATCTTCTTTCTCTCTTGTATACTAACTTTCATAAAAAAATAAATACACTTCAGTCTATTCAGAATCACATCACGTCCAGAATCTTTTGTTGTGTAAATTCATCGTGTATGCACCTCCCCCCTCTCACCTGCACGTACCCAGCGACTCCCTCAAGCAAAGGCCAACAATACCCAAATGCAAACGTTTCAGTACCACTAGTCGAGCCCATGGCGGTTCGTGGGTCGAAAGGTTCATTGATAAGTAGGTTAGTTAGTCAGATGTTCAACTCCCGAACCTAACCTAACCAAAACCAAACATAACCATAACTAACCTATGTTAACCTAACCTAATCTTACCCAACCTTAACCACCCTTTTCTAATCTAATCAAATTAACTTACCTTAACCTAACCTGTTTTTATTTTAAAAGGCAACTATTCTCAAAGCCACGCATTGTATCCTAGCAACCTCCATGGCATGCCTAGTCACTGGCAAACTCAAGCCTAGCAATCATCACATCATGGTTAAGTAAGCATTATCCCTAACTTAACACTCATCAAGGTTGGTAAATATTATCCCTAACTTAACGCTAATCAAGGTTAAAATCTATCATCCCTGACTTAACTCTTATCATATTAATGATCACGATGACACATTCTAGCCACTACAACGTGTCGAACTTCTACCGTCGAAGGAGGGAGGAAGGGTTAGGGCGGCTGCAGCCTTCAATTCTTTCCTACAATGGCCTGGCCCAACTTTCACCCACGCACTTCGTATAGCACTAATTTATGGGACTTGTTGGCCGCTGTGGTAGCTAGGTAAGGGGAGGGGGGAACGGTGGTGGTTAGGGTCGGATTAATTTGTTTTGCATTTCATTAAGACACGATAAAAATTTTCTGTTTGTTGACCATCCGTAATATTTTATTTTTATTTATTTTATTTTGCTGTCGACTATAAAATTTGCTCATATATATATATATATATATATATATATATATATATATATATATATATATATATATATATATATATATATATATCATGTAGATCCACAATGAAAACGTGGATAAGATAAATCTTTAGTGGGTCCCTTATTTTTGACCTGACCTGACTAGTCACGTCACCCCCCTTCTCTTAAGCTCCTCTACGTGTGTGTTGGTGTGAGGATTAGTGGATGACATCATTATGACCTGACCTCATGTTTTTAAGGTCACCCTGTATATCTAAGCCTCTCTCTGTCCATGTAATCCAGTTGCCTCTGGAGATGTCTTGACGAAAGCTAAGGTGCTCCGTTGTTTCCCTTTTCCAGTGTGATTTTATCAAGATATATATATATATATATATATATATATATATATATATATATATATATATATATATATATATATATATATATATATCATGTAGATCCATGATTGGGGGAATTTAAAAATACCCGCCAGTTTAATGTTTCTATATTAAACTAAATAAGTTTTTAATGTAATTATCTACAGCCAATTACAATGCAACACCAGTACAATTAACAAATGTATATGGTAAAATATAAAATAAACTACACACACGCACACAGAAGAATCATACAATGCCTTACTTTAGTGAATTAGGAAGTCTGACCACATCAGTGAAGGGCCTATAAATAATAAAAACAAAAAGAGTTACGTTTAATAACATGTAGTCAAGTCACGCCAAGATAATTTACTTTCAGTTGGCTGGCGAGGCCATATCTGCTTGTCTAGACTCTCCTATAGCTTTAGTGAATTGAAGACCTTGGGCATTGGTGCACCTAAATAAATAAGGTTACAACAATAATGACAAAGTACAGGTGATATACGAACCTGATCTTGATACAGTACTAACAGACCTGCGGGTGAATGAGCTATGCGTTGACCCGATAGAGAGAGTTGAGAAGTGTAAAACAGAAATTTGGAAAAAGGAAAGTTGAAAAACGGGGATAAAATTATGAAAATTAAGAATATGAAGAGAAAATTTAAAATACAAGACAGAAAATAGAAAGAATATAAAATAAAACGGTAGAAAATAAGAACGGGAGTAATTAGAAAGGATAAAGAAAAATACTGAACTGACAAAACAATATACTGTAGAAGATGGGAAATGGGTCACGGACAACGATAAAGACTATTGATGACACCTAGGAGTCAGGCCTTATCTTGTGTACGTGGAGGAGGGAAGGTAGGGTGAAGGAGAGAGACGGTGTTGGAGGGTAGGGAGAGGGAGATAGGGGGGGATTGAGGTCAGGGAAGGATGGGGTGGGGTTTTAGGGAGAGAAGGTAGGGTGTTGGGGGTGAGGGAGGGGGGAGAAGATGGGAAGTATTTTAACAAGATAAAAAAGAGGGGAGAGGTGTATTAGTGAGTGGGGGAGAGGGAGAAAGGACCAGGGAGAGAGACAGGAAGAAAGGGCCCGAGAAAGATAGAGAAACAATTAAGAGAGGACCAAGGTGCATCTCCCACTGCCCGTCTATCAGCTGAATCTATAAACACGAACGCGTCCTCATAGCCTAGTCCCAGTTACATGTTGATCACGAACAATAACAAGGTACACATATTAATGTTTGCTTATAAGTAATAACAGAAGCGAAGGTACTGTAAAAGATATACCGATATTCTACTGTTAGTAAATATATAATACTGAAATAGCACCAGGCTACTTGTTCAGCGCCTCAGCCTATAGTGACCCGGAGAGGGAATATTTACTACATAAACTGCCCTCACTTGAGCTCGACTTATGAGTGAGCGTGCATATAAATAAAGATAAACCAATACTTTGAAAATTAATGATAAAAAAGTAGGGCGGTAAAACACAATACCTCGTCACAGTTTAGGGAAAATTTACCACATTTTCCGTGAACAATTATGTACAGTACCCCCCAATACGGCACATGAAGGTTGATACAAAATACCTGCAGGAGATACGCTAGACAATCGACCTAAATATAACGATAAAGATAAGATTTACAGGAAGTCATCGAAAAAAAATTACTCACTCTCTTACTGAATAAAGTTAAACTATAATTTGGTTTCATTTATTCCTCAAGAGTAAATTTCACTATACCCCCTAGAGTGCCTAGACAGGTCAGCCTGAACGGGAAAATACCTGGTACCACGGGACTCTGCCCATCCTGAAGTCAAGACGAGTAGAGATAAGGTCAGCACAGACCGGGAAATACCAGTAAATGAGGTTATGGTGGTCAGCTAAGGTGGTGTACACAAAGGGGAGCTTCCGGACGGCCCAATAAAGCACGCGGACTGAGGTGTTGATTATATATATATATATATATATATATATATATATATATATATATATATATATATATATATATATATATATATATATATATATATATATGCTGATAACCACAAGGAAAGAAGAAAATCACTGTAGGTGCACGTGATCTAGGTATATGCTGATACTGTAGGTCAGTGAGCCATAGTACTGTTATTGCCAGGCAGACAGACACAGCAGGAGGAATAGGTAGGCGGCGGCAGGTGTGTGGGGCGGGCCTGCCACCTCACGTGGCGCCGTTATCCCCAGGCAGTACGACACGTCACCCCACAAACACCGCGTACGATATTAAACGCATTTTACCACTACGCCTCAACTCATTCATAAAATAAACAAGAATGTCTTAAATTTGTGGGACTGGTTTTACAATAAATGGACTATTGATGCCAGTAGCAATTGTAATTTTGAACATATTTCAATAATTTAATGGACAGCATTGCCAACCCATTAGCGTTTCCAAGATATCAATCAAATACATACTACACGTTCATTATATATTTTCTCATAACACTAAAACGAACGCAAATACCATAAACTGTACGTAGAATGTATCAAAAAGAACACTTTATGAGTGTAAGAAATTATTCAGTAAGGAGGAATTGAATACGGGTTCAGTTGTAAACATTGACGCACGACGCCCAGTACCCACCCCAGCAGGTCAGTTCCCGAGGTACTCTGCGCCCAGTCAAGTAACGTTTATTGTGATCTGATTCATAGTGACTTACAGTTCACAATGTTCAGTTTACTTAATTATTGTTAACTTTTGCGTGATTCTACAGCGTGTATTTTAGTCAATGCTAACTCCATGCTGTGTAAATTTAGTCTGGGTGATTGCTAAGTAAATACTGTATACTGTAGTTAAAAGTTAACTTTTATGTGACTGTACTACATAAATTTAATCGTGTTGTTTAATGTGACTGTTCCGTAGTGCAACTGAAGGCCGGCTTTTGTTATTAGTTTTCGTAAGTTAAATCAAGATGAGTGTTTCTTAAGTGTGACTTTATTCCTTAAGTTTATTAACAATTAACTATTACCGTGGTTTTTTTTTATTAGGTCAGTTCAGGGTAGCACAAGTCATTTAGACATTTTACCTAATTCATTAAAATTTGCAGTGAAGAGACTCGGGACAAATGGAATCTACACTTCCTTAATTACTACTGGATAACTAAACACAATCACAAACTCCACTGAAAACACTTACCAGGGTTGGCCAGCACCGTCTGAGGAATTGTGTAACATTATGGGTAAATGCAGAGACCAGACGACCCATCTACTAGCAGTCTATTTGAGTCTCCTCGCCCTCGGAGTGTTGATGGAGCTTGGGTTCCCTCTCGATTCTCCTTTCACCTCCCACTCACAAGATTCTCGGCAAAACTTCATGCCTCTACGAGCTCTTAGGGAAAAGACATCTGTGGAAGGGGACGTCGATATTAATAAGTGGAGGATGGCGGCTGTTAGATTAGTAATTCAGAGCGTCAGTGAACCTAATGTTGACGTCATGAACTTTTCGTCACTGACTGGGTCCGATGGTCCTAGTGTCTTAAATGCCGCCAACCTTACAGAGGAAGATAATATACGCGTATATGATGATACAAATGCCAGAGAGTTCGTCAGTGACAGCAACGTGTTGGTTAATGAAGAAAAACGTCACCCTAATATAATTACTCATAAAGTGAAGTTTTCTACTGAGTTTAACGCCTTTGATGAATTAACTAATCTATTGACGACTTCCAAGACACACTGCCTTGCGGTACACTCACTCCCGTGGCCAACAGACTACCAGGATGGCGCCAGGTACCGCTGTTCTGTCCACACCTTCAGTGACTGTCACCGTAGATATTCCGGGAACAAGTTGAAAAAGTTCGACAAGCTGTGTCCACGACACACACGCCCTGGTTATGAAGTAAACCCCGTCAGTATGAACCCCACGAGTGGCGGCGAAGGAAAAAAAAAGCTCCATAAGATCACCATAGACGCTCACTACACCTTCCTCGAAGACCTGAAGGGTTTGAAGCCTTCCCAGCGGCTAAGACTGGACACCAAATTCGACCTGGCGGGACTCAATTCTCTCCACAAATACGAGATCACCAAGAGACTCTTACAGGTGAGACCAGTGTCGTCCGCAATTATTATCATTGGAGTTCGTGTCGAGTGTGGCTGCGACAATTACTAATTGAGGAAATTGTCAAGAGAAAGTTTCGGGATATAATTTGTTGTAAACCTTAAGCCCAGTATTTACCGTGACCTGTTAGCTTTTAAGGAACCCCCAGTGAACCTAGATGTTCTAGTCAAGGAGCGACTTCCTATTATTACAGGATGAGATAGTTTTCAGTAAGATTACCTTAATGCTCTAGCGTCAGGCCTCGAGACGTCATAGGATTGGCCATTAATTTCCTCCAGCACGATTCACGTTTTACTCTTCATTCCAACGATAAGTTTTGGCACGTCTTTGTGAATACAGTTTATGTAAATCAGACATTCTAGTATTTATGTCATAGCCTATTTGCCTCCACATACGTTGGATTGTGTCTTAAGTGTTTATATACTTCGCAGTCAGTCTCTCTTGTCAATATCTTTTCCAAATTTCAGGTTCATTACTTCCACCATGATAGATTTAACAACAAAGAAAAATTGAAATAGTTTCTCATTGCTGCCTCCAACCTGCGAAGCCTACACACTGAGGTCACCCTGCTACCTGTACCTTGTTGTTCTTATACTGTAGTGTACTATACTGTACTAGTAAGTGAATCAGCAGCTTATCAGTTTTTTGCCTTGCCTTGTTGCTTGCTTGTCAACATCAACTAAGATGTTGTTCCTGGTTCAGCAGCTCCCGGAACCCCAGGCAGGGCAGCAACAGGGGTTAATCGCACTTTCTGAAGGTATGACTCAGACTCACGGAAAGCGACCAAGTCTCACATTTTTCATACGGGCTCAACAATAATGGTCCTGTCCACTGCCTAGTCCAATAATTTTACTGATACTGTATTTAATTACATTTCCTGGAGTTTAAAGGTTTATGAATATGAATACTGTAATGTACTGTAATGGCATAAATGATAAATCACACTTCTCTTCTGATAATCTGATTTCGTGACCTTCCTCTCCACAGATGCTGCGGTGGACACTGACACACCGGGGTTACCAGCTGGTACGATCATCAGCTGACAGCGATGACTTGTTTCAGTACCTACATCAGGAGGACCTTCAGCCCCCTTTACACGTCCTCACACTCTGGCACCGTCGCTCATAAGGAGAATGGGAAGGACTGGGAACACAGAGGGAGATAACAGAATGAAGTTGAAGACAATGGTGAGGACGAGGAAAAGATCATGAACAACACAGTGATAATGCAAACTTAGTGAGACAATGACGATAAAAATTACAAGACAGAAAATACCTATAATAAATACGGGCTCTGGCAAAATGAAACTAAAACATAAATTAAAGAAAAAGTTTAAACCTTCTTTAAGATATGAAATCTACTCTTTACGTAACAAGATACATGAAGGATCATAATTACAGTACTGTACTACTACACTAATTTGCTACTGTGATAGTGACTGATCTCTTACTAACATGTATCATAATTCTATCCCATCACGTAGGAATAATTTAAATAAGGCAATAATGTTAATCTACACTCAGGCTACACACCTAGTCACAAGTACTCAATATTGACTTAAGATAGCATTACATGTACCAGTGCTATCTTAACTGGCAATTTAAAAGATAATGTCTTGCTAAAAAGTTTCAAAATCTGAATACAATTGGATTTTCCTTAAACTTAAATACAGAGATGTACAGTTCAAGGAAGACAAACCAAATTAAGATTGACATAAAATATATCCTTGAGAATAATGAGAGGTGAATGGGATGTTGAGAAAGAGTAATACAGTACTGTGTCAAAGTTTAAAAGGGATGTGGAAGTAAAAGAAGTGTGGCCGAGAATTGACCAGGATTTTGTTAAGGTGGAAGGGGCACGTTGAGAGAATGTAAAGTGAAAGGTTAATTGGAGGAAGATAGAATAATAGGGTAAAGGATGCAATAGATGTGAGAGGGAATGACATTCAAGTAGCAGCAGTGTATGTGAATAACAAAACAATGAACTCTTTACTTAGGTAATTTTGAACAACTACTGCAAACTTATAGTCCTTAACATATTCCAACTTTCAATGAGAACCAATTCTTGTTCTAACACACTAACATATGCTTTACATTACATTACATTTATCACAAACATTTTCAATATTGTACATCCCACATAACATTCCCAATATCTCGCATTTTTCTCTCCAGAACCAGAAACTGCCCCCTCTTCCCAATATTTTTTCTCTTATACCTCTTCATGGATTCACACATCTCTTCTCAACCCACCCCATTCTTTCTCTAATATAATCTGTTTACACAAAAATTCTCTCTAACTGACTCTTTACCAAACATTTTTCCAGATAATACAGATAACATTTAGTCCTCATTAATTCCTTCCCTTCTCTAAATACTTATTACTCATCCCTCCTCCTCACTCTTGCAAGTCCTGAAAAGTTCAAGGTAGCCCATTCTCTTGAAACAAAACACTTCTTCTTTCCTTTTATTTGGTGTCATATGTTTACAAATATACATTCACAAAAGATCATAAGTTATTTGTATATGTACAAAACTTTACAATGAATAAACACTATTGAAGTTCATTAGAGCAGTATCATTCCTGAAGATCCTCTGAACTTCCAGTTTCACTGACACATTTATTTCACAATAAAATTAAAAATTTTACTAGCTAAATAAATGATTACCTGTTAGCATTTCCAGGTTGGTTGAATGAGTTCTGAAGCTTTACATTACGATGAATCATTTTGTCAAGTGACTCAAATCTTAATGATTGATTGGATGCCATTGTTTCATTTAGTTAAATATTACCCTTTATAACTATGGAACCAATCAGTATTGAAGATTGATTTCACGATGATAATTATTTATCCAAAAGTAATGCTTTTAAATTTTGGCCTTAGTTATGATGTGGTATGACTATCATGAACTGGAATGGAGAGATATGAAAAGTTGCTTTGTAGTTTGGAAAAAAAAGGTAAGCAAAAAGCCCAGATACTTCATGTGGTGTTACTTTACTCACATTGAAGAAATTCCCTAAGATACCAACTAGCTCCTCACTGAACTGTCAGATTCTTGATTTATGTCAAGTTATTATTGTTCTATTGCAACTGTATTGGCACTGACTGACATTTCATAGATACTTGTTTTTAGCTTACCTTTACAGTGGTATAAAAGAATCTAGACTATTCTTAAATATAATGATATGAGGCAAAATTAAATTGACATGAATACCTTGTACCATTGTTGTAAGCCTGCGTAACACCAGGATCAAACTTCATATGAACAGTAAGTGATGACACCGCCACCTTACCACATCAGAAGAGTTTCTCATGAACAGTAAAGATACATAATTGAAAAGACTTTTAAGACCCTCAAGAAGCTAAAAGGGAAACTGGCAAAATCCTCTAACCTTCCAGTACATCCTTGAGGGTCGTTTATAAAGCCCATTGTTTTAATACAAGGTGAAATGTACGTCAACACTTCAGCTATAACTACTGCACAAGATACTCTGCGTGTGGGCAAGTCAGTTACATAAAACCTTAATGTAAATTGCAGTAATCCCAATCAATTCCTATAAAAAAAAAGTTACTGTGGCTCCTGGCTAGTCTAATAACTAGTTGTGAGTGCTTAGGCATATGGTCCATCTGCTGGGATTAAAAACATTTACAGGGAACTTGAACTGACATCCATTTCAGTATCAGTTTTGATGTATTAAATTTTAATTTCATTCCCTTGAATTTAAATCCAAACAAATTTTCTGAAGGCAGAAGGTAGAAACTCAACTAATTTATGGTGTACAGATACAACTGCATCTTTCCTGCACTTATACATAACACATCACAAGTTCTGAACCCATTACAATCACCTAAATCCATTAACCAAGTCTGTGTTCCAGCAGCTTAAGTCTTTCACATTTGCACTTTAGTACCACAGTGGCAACCAGTTCACGTATTACAGTATGTACGTAAAAAAAATTCCTTTTTCTCACTATAAAATTAAAGATGTGACGATAATGTGCCCGGCATTGTCTGGGTGTTGGTGTGCTTGTTGACATTATCTTTTAAGCATAACAAATTTGGTAGGGATGATCCACTAAGAAAAATCTCATAAGAGCTGAATTTAAGTGGTGTGTGACCTTTAATGACCTTTCTAATGACCATAACTGGGAAACGTCACAGTACAGTAATGATGAAAGATATTTTTAGTATTATACAACTTATTACTATAATTATTTCACTTATTCATACATGGAATGAAGGATTCCAATCTCAACTTCAGTCTTTTAAAAAATACAGTATATAATTTTCAAAAAGCTTAAATTATAGCCTTCATCATCTCTATACTTTTAATAGTTAGATTGGGCAGCATTAATGAATTCTTCTACATGTTGGTTTGGTTACCACATAAGTAGGGGTTACTATTTGCTTGTTCAGAAAAGTAAGATTAAGTTAAGAGGAGGAGAGCTGCCTCCAAGCACAAGCAGGTAAGAAGTAAATCTGAAGTGAGAGAACAGAAGCTACTGTACAGTAAAAAGATACAAAAACAAGTGATTTATTGGCAATTTGTTGAGAAATGGACTTAATCACAAAACTTAACAAAGTTGACGATGCTGTTACTGTAAACAGCAAAAGAGCTGTGCCTGTCTCCATTTTTGGATGGGATGGTTGGGGCACAGTTTTTTTTAACATTGCGACCTAATCTCTTCAAAAGGTGAATCACAGCTCAAAAATTTTCACACCAAGATGCTCCCTAGATCGTTCCTACTTCTTTTGCTCGAAAGATTTATATAGAACCTGGTCACTCCATCAAGGTCACGTAAGTGTATTGACCGCTAATACATTCCCTCAAAGTTTTATCAACATTTCAATTATGTCTGTTTACAGATGATGAAGGCCCCATTATTGTTGTATCATCTCATCACCTCAGTGACAAAAATGAGATACCTGTATATAATTGGTATTACTGAGAGGACAATAAGAGACTGAAAAGGCAGAGGCCAATGTAGAGTAAAAAGTAATCAAGAAAAAATGAATGAGATATCCTTTGACTTCTCCCGTGTTAGTCATAGTGATAACAATAATGCCAAAGGTCTACTGTCTACACCAAATCATACCTACTTGATATAATTTTTTCTACTTTTTTTTTTCAAAGAACTAGTTGTGAGGTAGTACAGTACAGTACAATATTCTAAATCACCCGGGACAGCTAACAATATAACTACATCCTCTGCAGTGCTGGCTAATTCCATTGCAAGATGATGAAAAAAGTACCAACTACTAAAATAAAGGAAATAAATATTCTAAAATTAAGCTGTGTTAACTTACTTTACTATCACGTACTAGTCATGTCACATCTTCAGGTATCATGAGCCACAGTAAAGCAATTCACTATCTTGTAATCTCATGGAGGAGAAGTCTGCCTGTGTTCATAATGGTGGTATCCAAAGGTGATATCTCTTACTCCTGTTTGATTCCATCTGAGTTCTGTCCTTGAGATAAATTGGAATATATAATTTATCTTTTCTTCTCTGCAAGTGTCAAAATGAAGACACATGCCAGTGATGTATCTTTACCAATCTTGGCCAAGCAGCATACACACAGTACTGAAGATGTAAATGCTTTTTGCACAACCATGTGACGAGTTTCAACCTTCTGCCCATCAACACTAAAATATATGTATTCTAGGAAAGCTGGTGTTGGCACTAACAGGCATGAATTCCAAAACTAGCTGTAAAGAAAATAAAGAAAAGACTTTCTTTTCAACATAGTTTATTACAACAGTGAAGGTGTAGTTCTGACGTCAGACACTACGGCAGTCAAAACTAAAACACAGCCACGTTCCATGCTGCCTTATGACAACACCTACATAGCTGATGCTACCAGCCTTCTGTGAATACTGCATTATGGTACTGTATCTCCTAAATTTCAGCTGGAAAAAAATCAGGTACTAGAGACTGACTGTTGAGGGAAGTCATAGAGCTTCCTGTTATCACATTTCATAATTGCCCTCACCTTGGCCACAAGAACTGTAACAATTTCATGTGTGACAAAGAAAACTACTATTGGATAAGAGCAAACATTACTCCTTTATACTGTCCAGTTCATTATGAAGTGTGGACTTTGGTATTTCCTCCATAGAAACCAAGACAGCAATTACAATAGAAAAAGTACAACGTAGCAACAAAACTTACCAGAAACTTTGTAAGAACTCCCTTATCTATATAGTATCTTATGTACTTTCTTACATATCTTGGTGGAAGAGAAAACCCTGACATGGTTAATGTTTTTCCAATTACCAATTTAAGGAGCAAAGTTGATGATGAATTTTTTAGATGATAATAGAGGTGGTATACAGTAATAGAGTTTGGTCAATCTATAACATCAAGGACTGGCAATGCCACGTCTCAGCTGGAAACTCTTTGCCCATCTGAAAGGAGAACAACAAAACATTTTTCTGCCACATTTCTACAAGGTGAAAAGAGGATTGAAAGTCTGGAAAAGGTAGTAGATTCACATCAAGGAAGCAAGAGAAGATTTAGAACTGACGGACGGCAGCTACTGATGTAATAAAACACAATACTGTACTTCAGGCAGTTTGGGCATTGAGGGTAAGAATGTAAGATATAGAGTATAGCCAAGCATATGAAGGTGAAGAGGAAGATCAGAGGCAAGTCAGTGGGTAAATATATGACAATTTTCATGAAGATCAGCAGTAGTGAAAGGATTCGTGGAAGATTCTACATCACCCGTCCTACTGTTTGTAAATGGCTAAAGATGAAATTAAGGAGACAATAGTATACAATCTTCAACACTATCCAGTGTACAGGTATAACAAAAAAAGTTCATGTGTTCAGACTTTCCAACGAAGACTCCATTCTCATACAAAGTCCAGCTATGACTCAGCTTCCATATATTCATATTTGTACTGTGTTTGAAGTGATTGAGGAAGTTTTTTTTTTTAAATTGCTGTCTACTTTGAATACAGGAATTGACAAATATCACATGGATGGAAAGTTCTACAATTCAAAATAGTTTTCAGAAGTATTGAGCATTTCTGTTAACAGCCCAACCACTATACGCTTCACTCATGATAATTACATATTCAAAAAGTTTACACAATTATAACAAGTCATTTTCCATCTACAAGCACCACACTGATAATAGTATCAACTGTTTCCACACTACACACACTTGTTTTCTATCCTAACAACAATTTCACACTGCATCTTACGTACAATGGTAAATGCATAATTATCCTTGACATTTCTGCTGATAACCAATTCAATACCTATTACGTCATCATCATCAACTGTGTATTTCCACAAGGATATGCATTGTGGAATAACATTTTATAAACGCCCCTTCTACATAAGTGTTAGGTCGATCACAGGACACAAGAAACATAAGGAAAATAATGGAAGAGAGAGGTGCTTTAAGTGTAGTTTGTAAGATGATGAGATAAGAATAGAAATACAAATACCCAAACTATCTACATCTTAGTCTTTAACGATTGATCTTACAGCAACAAGAAAACATTCACTGATAAACTCAACTAACTGATTTGACTACAACTTAAGTGAAGCAGTTAGCGCTTTTTCACTACGATATAATGATGTGATAAAATAATGACAAATGCCTTGCCAAATTTACACAAAGAGGAAAATAGAAGAAAAATAAAATAAATAAAACCAAACTAAGAACATTTTAATTGAGAGAATATTATATTATTCATGAAAGTTCAATGTGGGAATATGAACCCATGGCACTTTTATACGACACGATCAAGTGACTTTAGCCCAAGACGATTGACAACCCTTTCCAGTTTGCATGTTGGTCTGGTTATTCGGAAATAAATCAATCGCTACATGCTTTTACTACTGTGTACAGAGAAATAAACAGAATACCTCCACTAATAAATGCAAAATAAATAATGTGCATGTGTGTAATTCTCTAGGCCACGTTCACATCTACTTGTCATAATTCACAGTCCATATTCTCCTCCAGTGACTTGGATTATTAACTCTCTTTATCTGTTCACTGTTATTCATTTCTCAACTTTCATCTTCCCCTTCTGTCTGAACTCTTACTCTTGCAAGCACTCTTTTGTCTTACAGAACATACACCTCAAACAAGCAAGGAGGCAGATATCCCTTAGCATATATTGTGGATGATGTCAGCTCTTCAACAACAAATAAATTAAATATAAACGAGATAAAGGAGTTCTTACTGTTGAGAAGAAATATTATAACGACCAGACTGAGTAAAGCCACCAATACAGTATTAAGAAGATTTCAGATGATAATATATGTACACATTACAAGGTCATGGGTCCCTGATGCTAAAGGCATAGATAAGTTAATGAACAGAAAACTCATTGAAAATAATCTGCAAAATGAGGAACTTGCCTTCAATATAAAATGGCACTTGCATAGTATTCTGGGAAAGTTTACCTCTATATCATCACCATAAATACATTCCACAGAAATACTCAATATTGTCCAGAATAAACTTCTTATCCCCATCCTGCTGGAAGGCAACAGTCCAGCCTGGATACAAGTCTTTGCCAGCCAATTAAATACCATCACTACTAGTTGTCATTTCTACATCCAAATAATGTAGAATCAACTAGTTCTATCTAACAATACCAATACAGCATTACATTTTAGTGTTGACAACTGAAAGCAAACTTCAGATTAACTAATTTAAGACAAGATGAATTCACCTGTTAAGCACTCGCATATGAGTTTTGCTAAGAATGAGCCCTAAGAGATTCCTCAGTTAGTTCTGCTTACTTCCAGAATGCTTCAAGTGTTCAATCATTTTATTTGTACAGCAAGTACATCATTTACTAAAAGAAAAAAGAAGAGAATTTTTTTTAATATAATCTGCCCATACTGAAGATGACTGATGTTGGTTAAGAGTGAGATTCTTCAGACCAATAACATGGATGAATTTAACTTATTCTCAGGGTTTACACAACTTTCTTATTTCACTTCTTTCATTAACTATACCATTAAATACAAATTCCACCACAAGTGGACTTCACTCTCATCTGTACAAACTAACATTTGCTCTTTGAAATGTTCACTGCTTGGTAATAAATTATTAAAGTCAATAATACAAAAAATAACAGGTGCCACATTTCTGTATTGTCAATAACTGAAACACCACTTACCAGAAGTCTCAGCACCTTATACTTTGGTTGCTATGGTGTTTCTTTTTAACCTTTCAATCTCGTTTAACTTCAAACACTTCTCACTTTAGATTAACTATCACAATACCCAACGAGTGGGATACGAGAATACTCTTGAGTCTTGTCACCTCAATGCTCCTTTCGAAACTTTTCCTTTGGTCTTAATACACTTGTAATGTTGAATGCTATGAAGTACAGCAGCCGTCTCCATCCAATGGCTGCCTACATATTTTCCTCTTATCACCAATCCCATTAACACTACAGTATGGTGAAACCTCATTAATTCTTTTCTAAATACAGTACTACCCATTAACGTTTATTAACACATTAATAACCGGATTATTTCCCAGTTCTTCCATCTTTGTTTAATAATTTCTTATCGATTAAACAAAATTTTTACAATATACGATTCATGAACAATGCCTTTAGTGTTTGTGAAAATAATGTATCCTTTACACTGGGTATATATATATATATTCATATTTTTATTAATGAGGTTTATTCATGACAATCTTCACTACAAGCCTTCTAACCATCAAGTTGTCCGAATACGCTTAGCCTGAGACTGGCTAAGGGTGTTATGTCGCTGGAAAATGTACTTTATCTGCGAGAGATATGTGATAAGGTCTGTCGCAAAGATGAGAGGTACAATGTCTGGAGCGACTGCGCTTCCCCACGCACTCATCAATGTGTTAACTTGGTGCCTGGAAAGGAAGGTTGAACATTACAAACAAATCTTAAATAAGAACTAAAGTGTGAAATATTTAATTCTAGTGCTGAAAAATAGTTAACAGTGACAGTAATGAATAAACCCAACATAGATTCACAATTTTGAATACCAACAATGTCCATGAAATTAAATTCCTAGTAATGTTCTAAGTCTCACAAGGGGTCACATCTGTAAATAATGAGATAGATTTTGCTTTTATAAATATAAGTACCATGAAAAATTCAGTTGTAAAGTTATGTTTGTAATTACTGAACAGAGATCAATGGCAGGACATGTTTGAAGACTTTTAATTCACTTGAAAAGACACTAACAACTACAGTAAGACCATGTGCTAAGGTTACCAGCCAACAATTCGCAAAAAAATACATACTTACTGTAGCAAAGAATACAAAATTTAACCTTATTATTCTTTCATATTTTACGAAATGCAGTTTAATTATTATAAAGATGTGAAACATTAACTCAGTATGCAAGAACTAAGAACAAAAAAGTAACAAATGATAATTGAGTGCAAAAAAAAAAAGCAAAATAAGAAAACACAGAAAGAAGATGTTGAATTGGTGTAAATGTGTGTGTACGAGACAGACAGTTAATATCAAGCACAAGACACTCACCAGTTGGCTTTGTATACAGTAACAGTTAGGACATTCTGAAACACCTCGATGCATTCTGTTAAAGTGGCCGCAGGAAAAAAGTCCTTGATTACATCTTGTATAGCCACCATGTTGAAGTCGGTGGAGTTCTGATGAGTATACGCAGTGCGGTTTATGCATAATACACCCTTACCGTCCATAACCATCTGTGAACAAAAATATCAATAACTATCGGTAACAAAATTTTCCTTCTTCATTTTCAGAGGTTGATGATAATGCAGTGAAACCTCTATTTAACGGACTACGTGGAGAAGAAAGACAGTTATATCAAGGGTCTGTTAGATATGAAACCTCCACCTAAAGAAATGTAGAGAGATGAAAGTCCGTTATATAGAGGGTTCATTAGATGTGAAAACCCCCATCTAATGGATTATATGGAGAAAGAAGTTCGTTATATGGAGGTTTCACTGTGCCATTCAACTACAGAAATAACCACAACACTGACCTTGAACTTTAACCTCATGACCTCCTAAATCAATACAGATCTTCTCCCCCAAGGGTTTATACATTATCATGACAAGAGGTACACAGAAACTTTAGATTACATTTCAGACACCAAAAAATGTAACAAGTAAATGCAGCATCAGTGACGACAATTCTCAGTTACTCTCTGGATAAAAGTGCCCCATGGGTAAAAACTACACAACACAATAGATAAAAAGTTTTACTGTACATACAGGTACCACTATATATGTTTAATGTTGACAAAAAGCAGTATTTTGAAAGACAAAATATATTGTAATCCCCAACCAGGAATGATGGTTTATCAGTCTAATGAGCTTTACACTGTACTAAACTAAAACAACACTTCAGCCATCCTCTAACCTTTCTGACTTTGTAAGGAGGCTCTTGTCTCGTAGGGTCTGGTCTGAAAGCAGGTGTATCAACGAGTCTCTGTTTGTCAAGTCCATTTCTACCCACTCCTTTGTGACTAGATAAATTATCAGGTCGCAGGCCATTAGCCACAGGAATGAGTGGAGGAGGAGCTTTTGACAAGGATTTTGAGCTGCTGTTTGCTGTGGAATTCTGAGGAGGAAAAGTAAACAATAACTTTAACTGGGACACGGAGGCAACCTCACACTCAGATTTACAAGTGCAAAAAACGGTAATATAATCTGGATGCAAGTGCAACCAAATGTGGTTAGTGGTGCCACACAAGACATAAGTACTGAAGATATAAAGCATGATAGGATTTTAAACACTTAATTCCTTATCCTCCTCATCCTTATCAATTCTATTGGAAGATTCTGCCTCTCAGTGGCATCCAAAGGGTTAGTTTATTATTCATGATACATTTTAATTAGACAATAAGCAACTGTAAAAACATTGCAACTTGACCAGGTATCTGACGGTATCACATGAGAGGTGGGGAGGAACAGATGATAATCCCACTTATTTTTAAATAATCATATTCTATAATTTGAAACTCCAATTAGTAAAGATAATCATAAAATTTATGGACATTAACAACAACCATTTTAATAATATTAATAAATCATAGTAACTTATTCAATACTTAAATTTCAGAAGACACGAGTTCTAATGAAACAGGTAACACCAGGACTTGCCCAGGTGTCTAAATGTCATGGGAGTATAGTCACCATCAACATCATTAATACCGAGTTAAGGTTTATAATTTATTGTTTATAGGCTGCAATACATTGCTTACTTCCCACATACAGAGAATTTACATAACATATACCTGAAAAGATATTATGACCAATGACTCCACTGTACTACCTTCATCCCCTTGTGAAGTAGTGTGGGCCTTGTTGTGAGTGGGTGACAAGAATCCTGGCCAATAACACATCTCAGAACCATTTATATTTTCTTTTCAGCAGGTTTTTATACAGAAATTACCCTATGGTGGGAATATAAACAGACACACTGGAAATAAATTAATGACCCCAGACAAACAAATTAAAGTCAGAGGCATCAGGCACTACTTATCAGACCGAGAGAAGAAAACTTACATGGTGTGCATTGCTGGACTGTCTGGTGTTATACGAATGCATGGTAGGAGTAGCAGCAACGAGAGAGCTTAATGTTGACTGATTAAGCTGTGCTGCGGAGTAACCCAACTGACGTAGCGTGGCATCTAAGGTGCTACTTGCCCTGGGAGAGAGAGAGAGAGACACCACGATAATAACACTACACATCTGACAAGTAGTAGTAGTGGTGGTGGTGGTGGTGGTGATGATGATAAAAATAATAATCTCAACAACAATCCACCACACTTCTACCAACTACCTGTAATAATAATAATAATAATAACTTAATTTCTAAACTATAATTGGGGCGACACGCTGAAAAATTATGAGATGGTTCTAATTGGCTTACTGTATGGTATATGCAGCTCCTTACTCAACTTGTGTATAACCCAATATATTGTGCTGAATATAGGGTAATTCTTATCTCTCAAGAAGGCACAAGTATCGAGATATGTAGGGAATTTATATACATACAGGCGAGCAGCACTCGAAGAGGTAGAGGTGGAGACTGCACTGATTGCTGCAGATGACCGAACTAAAGGTGGTGGCCGTACTGTACTTTGAGATGCCTGTAATGTAATGGAACAGTTAGCTTATATGAGGATATGTACCACCATTTGTATGTTAAAGGAAGTTCCAAAGAACATTGTGAAATGTAAACCACAACAGTTATTATTATCAAAGAAAAAAATGATCAATAACAATATAATCAATCATGAAAACAGATTTTTCTAAACCAACACTAGGCCTGAAGATTAAATTACAACTATCATTTACCTCCCTCTCCCTCACCTGCCATCTTTCAGGCAAGGAGGTGAGGTGGGGTGGAACAACAATGACTATGAAACACCTGTATAAGTGCTACAGTATACAGCATGTAACTGGTGTCCCCACCATTTCTAAATAACATATTAAGTTTGCAACATTCAAGAAGGATCAAGTTATCAGAACCACACTCATCATTTTTTATGTACATTATAAAGCAAAATATTCAATGACAATGTTTTAAAAATCTTTCAAGACAAATTTGTATATTGTTGTGGTTGTTACATTTGAAAGACATACAGTACTGTATATACTTGGCTTTAGTTACAAGAATGAAGAAAATACATTTATCAATGATGGGTCACACAGTATATACAATACACGAAGTATGCTAGAAACTTGAGAAAAGTTAATTAGAATAGTGGTACAGGGGAGGCCGAGAGTGCAAGACATATTACAAAACTGAACAGTAAAGTGTGATTCAATATGTTACAGTCCACGATTTATCAGGGGAGTAAAACTTGTCTTAGCACTTAAATGCACCCAAAAAGACATTTCTTTTCTGTTGGTCAAGGATCCCCATTCCTCTCTGACCTGATGATAACAAGACGACTCCGCGGTATCTCATTAACGGTATTGAACAGTTACGATATACTTGATTCATATTGTCTGCAAATTAAGAGTTCAGGAGTTTCTGTCATATTATGAATCGAAAGAATATCGAGTGTTTATAGGTTTGTCGCATTCATCCGCTGTTTACTAATGGACATTTGAAGAGTTTAAACAGGAAGTCTACATATTTCTTTAAGTTTTTAGAATCATCCATGAATGTACAGTACAACAGTTCTTATTAATAAATACTGTACATTTTGAAAACAGGTCCTATAGGTATGACTTGCTCAATAGGGACAGTGTGGATACAGCACACTATTTACTAAACCTTCAGTATGCAAGGAAACAACGAGCTCACAGCGTTCACTTCCCCAACTTGTAAAGTTAAGTAGATACCCATTTACAGCTGGGTGGTCTGGGAGTGCCTCGGGATCGAACCACTGACCCTTGGGACAAGAAGCGAGCGCTGTATCCACTCAACCACCCCACTCCTAATAAATACATCCAGTATTAGTTGATATAGTATAAGAATATACAATATAACAAGTACAGTACTGCCATACAGTACGTATAATCATGCCTAATAAACATGAAGATGGTTAACTTTATGCAAATGCCTTTTAAGTCATTATCACAATGAAATAAGTCAATGACACTGTAAGTAATGCACAAAGAATGTCAGAGCCATACAATGAAAGTGGACCCCTAAAATATTGTATCGGACCCATTGAGACTTTCCTTATTGGGGAAATGACTCGGGCTAAGAAATGAACAAAGATCAGACACAATCTGTCCCAAAACAACAAAGCAAACTGAATGAGAACTTAAAGGTACAGTACAGTATCTCCCTACATCTACCGTACTCACTAAAATGTATGATTAGTTCAGTAGTACTTTACATTCAAAATTAGTTTATCAGCTGACAAAAAAATTCATTGTTATCAAAAAATATCACAAGCACTGACTTCATATCACACAACAGTATTAACATAACACTATGATAGGTTTCTTGAACTACGGAATGAAAATAATTCTCAGGTACTGTACTTCCATATACTGTACAAATGATGTCTCTCCTCCCAGTTAAACTTTGTATAAATAAATTCATCAGTACAGTAGTCACCAAGGCATTACACAAAAGCTCTAATATAATGTGTAGCCCCAGGAGCCTTTTACTCCACTTGACAAAATCTTTTGTTAATCTCTACACCCACCAAACAAAGAGACAGTTGCAACCAGTCAAGTGAGGCATTACTGTACGGTGTTGCTCAGTTTTTTACGTCCCTCCCAACCATTAATTATCTTGGGCAAACAAACTCCAGCATTTATAAAACATGTAGCTATATACAGTATATTGTACCTTTAAAAAACCCTGGAAATGCCCGGTGGACAGTCTCACCCAAAAGTTCGTTAACTCTCCCAGCCAGCTATTGCTGCACTGCCAGCTTCATATGTATGAACTTGAGTCTGTTACTTCGAACCTTTAGATTCATTCGTATCGGTTTCATGTTCTAGTTGGATTGAGAGTTTCAAACATCTGAAGCAGGCAGTGCTGTTGAAACAGTTTCAAACATCTGAAGCAGGCAGTGCAGCAATAGCTGGCTGGGAGAGTTAACGAACTTTTGGGTGAGGAGATTGTACCATAAACCTTTATTCAGATACAGTATATAAGATTAAAATGTAAATAAACATGACCCATTGATAGTGGTATCTGATGTGTTTTTATAAAGTTGGTTACAGTAGCTGCTGCATTTATTTCCCCTTCATCATGGAACCAGAACACTGGCTGATGAGGAAACATGTGATACATAATATCCAGGATTTACATAAATTAACACCTGTTAAACATTTCTGGCCATGAAACAATGTTATGAGACTCATTGTTTGTGATGTGTCAGACCTCTTGATCTTGTCCTCAACAGTAAGTAAAAAGCACACAAAGCAGGAGTCTGGATAACAATAATGGACTGTTTTATCCTGGCTATTATGTTCTACTGTAACTCATCATATTCTCTTATGGGTTTTGTTACAACCTGCTTTTATTATTTCTCCTACTTGTTGTGACAGATTGGATAGTCTTACAACAGCATTACAGTATTTCAAACAACAGTACTGTACAGTGTATCAATGGCAACTCAACACAACAGGATTAGTTTGTGTGTTCTAGCATGCGTGTTATTCCGATATACTGTACAGTACAGTAGTACTGTTTTGCAGGGCACAATTTATTTGACTACAGTACTTCCAAATAACATGATACAGGGCATATGTAGATGTCAACACTTCAGTCAATCAAACTCTGGAACAAGAGAAGTGGCTTACAAAGCTGGCTATAAAGTGTTTGTTTAGCCAAGTTGTGCAATAACTTTGAATTTTTTTCCAGATACTGTACTCTGTACAGTATGTACATATATTAATAAACAATTTCGAAAGTATTTTCCTAATTGCTATAAATTATAACACACAACACGTATTTGTAACACAAGATCTTCACATATATTAGTGGCACTGCACTTGATAGGTTTTATATAAATTATACACTGCAGTATATTACCTAAGCATATTGTTAATATCACAAGATCAAAAGCAGATGATCACATGCTGGTGATTAGTCCTGCTGAGTTTGATACTAATAAGCCCGAAGTTTCAAAGTTAAATACCCTGTACATTAGCAATAGGTACTGTATAATATATATATATAGATCACTCATAAAAAGTTTGGTACTAATACATGTACACATTCAGTAATAATTTTTGAATAGCTCAGAACGCAAGAATAATGTACAAAGTTGTCCCATTTTCTGGTAAGTATTGTATGATATGAACCATCACTTCGGCAACACTGATTCAAAGTAAAGTCCCCAGACCACTATATGACAACCATGACTACCAAATCTGATGGGGATAGATGTTCCAATATTTGATGAACTGAAGATGAAGAAAACATAACAGATTTACTGAGACACAAACAATGCCACCACAGAATACAACCCACCAGAGATGATCGTATACAAACAAGAAGGAAACAAGGCCTTAATACCAATTAGAGGCAACAAATGCTGACATTGGACAGCTGTGAAAGAGGACCATTCAAAGACCATAACTAAACAGTTTTAATAAAGTTAAACTCTTCAATAATTTTCAAGAAGTCAAAAAGCATAGCACTAACCCCTCTCTGTGAACTATCAATAATAATAAAGTGAGGGGAACTGATGACATACAGTAGGTAGAAATATGTCACACACATAGGGGCCTGGGGGTCACATCAGGTAAAACACAAGAACCACAAACTCCTACGTCAACGACCCGAGGATACTGGCGGGAGAACTTAGGAACTTGACCCAATACAAACAAAAAGTTATAAGCCTAGCTGCAACTTTTCCAATATCTGTACTGTATTGCTATAGTACTGTACTATGTTGATATACTGTAATAAACTGTACTGTACTATATGTATATATCATTTGATCCCTAGCAATTAAACTGGACAAGTCTACAGATTTTTTATTACTGTAATTAATCTTCAGTATTTTACGAGTCTCTAATGGTTACACACAGCAGCCATGATTTTTTACAAGCATAAGTTGATGATGTTGATAGTGTGATGATGAAAATAAATAATGGGTGTATAGCTGTGCATACATCAAGTAACCAGGAACACATCAATTGTAAAATGGTTTGTGAGAGAAAAGTGTCATACTGTATGCGAGTGGATGTGCTGGTTATTATTATTTTCGTTTTATAAATATTAATTCAATTTGTCTATTTAAGGTAAGTGCCACAGTTGAACAAACCATTATATTACAGCAGCTAGAATTCCTAAAATAAACAATCACAAAATTTCACTGAGAACATTATCACTGACCTGACCTACCTAGCAAAGCATAGTTTAACTCAACCATTCTTCTTTCTATCCCCCTCCCCTACCCTGCCCTCCTCTTCTATTTCTGGCTAACAGTTTAAGTGAAATAATGGTGTTACTTTATTCGTAGTGAAGAGCAAAATCAAAACGAGGAAGACGATTGGATAAAAAAGGCTACATCAGGGAAGCAAAAAACAGACAAAAAAAAAATACATAACTGAAACAACATTACACAGACGACAGATATGGAATACCACGTCTATTGTTTGAAGTTCTATGTGGAAGAAAAACATACTGCAGACAAAACCAACTGTGATGAGACAATAAAAT